CATGTCAAGTACACTTTCTTATCTTGATCCTTGATGGAGATGATGAACCGTATGGCAGACCAGCGGGTATCGCCCGCAATACATTCGTATCCCCTTGATCTGCGAACATCGTTCCGGGATGACGTTCTACGAGCTTGCCCATAGTGTCTCGGTGGGGTATCAGAATATAATTGTAGTAAAGTTCTTATCTTTTAATACAGTGTTCTTTGTAGAAGGCTTTCAGCTTTTAACGAGGCACTCGCGAGTAGATATAGAAAACGAGCTTTATTAGCAGGGCTGCAACATCGAAGTCCCGCCTTCCGTTAAACATCAAGATCTCCACCATAATACACGGGTCTGTGCTATCGTCAGGCGGACGACTTACATTAACACCCGGATCCCTCCCCAGTACACAAGCTTGCTCTGGACATACTTCGTTGCGCCATCTGGATTTACTTGAATTTGAGAACTACTGGAGTCGGGAGACACGATGGGTCAGGTGCTATCACTGCTAGCATCATATGAGCGTAGAGACCTTTTCTATCCAGAAAGAGGGAGACAAAGTGCTGGGCGGGTGAATGGTGGCTCATGCTGGAGTCTGGTCGAGATTCAAGGTGAATCTACTTGTACTCTGGCGGTAGGAGACCCGGAAGAAGATGGAGATATCATCCGCTACTCTGAGTTGATACTAATGCCAATCTAAGTCTAAACGGATGAAAATCGTACGAACAGACTCACTAAAGGAGAATATGGTCGTCACGAGTGGTCCCAGGGAACGTCGTTTTCGAACACATTTGAGAGTCCAGTCCTTGCGCAGCAATACAAAAAAGCAGAAGGTCGGCTATGATCTCAGCAAAGATACGTCCCAGAAATCCGTACATGGACCTTTTGTGAAGAAGAAAAGATCTGGGATCGAAATAAATGAAGAGATGGATAGCTTGTGTCTGCAATTAGTAGATCCGCGGTCGAACAAGGATTCGGATCGGGCCGGGGCTCGTCCTCCTTTTTTTCTGTATCAAAGACTTCAGGAGCCATATAATCACTGTCTCTTGATGTGTATTTGATGTATTTGTCCATTGTAGAAATTTTATTCTTCATATTAGTCCTTTGCAAGTAATGCTCTGTCATATTAATATAATCTCTTTTCGCATCAAGTTAATAGTTTCTTCGATAGACGTTAGCCCCATCTATTCTTGTTGCAAGAAATGGTGAGTCTTGCGGATTGGGTTTCTATGATTTAAACTTATCAGGTGCAACATGAATGCCAAAAGGTGTTTCAGGTATAACTCATCGTGGTCGGATTCATTATGTTCAAAGACGGCTAGTAATATCCGTTTCCAACGTCCGGTTAGTCATGGTCCATCCTCTTATTGATCTCTTTCTCTGGTTATTCAATTACAAGGTTCTCTCTGAGTTGTTCACATAGCCCTGTGGCCACCATTATTGTATTAGTGTTTCATTTTTTAAATAGACGTACGTTAATCCCTTATTGATGGAGCCGCATTTCGATCATGTGTTTTCTTCCTTCCATACTGTGATCGTGTCGTGGTTCGAAAACAAAAAAAGGTGGAATACACCGACATACTTTTGGTTCCTGTCTTGTACACTGTAACCGACCTGGCCATATTCATTCATTCTATGCATAGGCCGTTTCCATGACAGGCATAGCTTCCTTATCATGGACCACGACCACCGAGTCTGTTTTAACTGCCTAACCAAACCAGTATCTACTTTCAATTACGGAATAGTTTTCACATTGAATCTCCCGCGAGGTTAGTCTTCTCGAAACGGATCTGGGCATTGCAGTCATATATCCAGGGAACCATTCAATTCCAACACTACCGCGAAGGCCGATTGTCATTCCTCAATCTGATCTCGTCGTTATCTATAGGAGCCACTAACGTGATAACACAGGCTGTTATCGATGGATATTCCCATATACTCCTAATCCAGGATAAACCTTCAGCCCCAGAACTGCTATTCCGTAGTTTTGTACCGATTCTCTCATAGATACCGAGAAGTTTCCGAGGTATTTTTCTTACCTTATAGTCGTGCTATGTGGAGAACTGACGGAGAGATTAGTTATTCAATATGTTCACCAAGTCCATCCATATACTCTGAGCAAGACACCTACCGAATATTCTCTGACCATGCCGAACATCAATTGAGGACCAGGGCGTTGGTGAGGGCGCGACTGGCTGCTGATAGATGGACAATCCAAAGCGCCACAGAGAATCGCCGTTGAATCCGAAACGCGCTCTACAGTTTTCTTCATGGTCCTTAATGACACTTACGGTCCGGGGCGCATAGTCGTGTCTTTTCAATTCACCGTTTTTGACATGAAGACTGAGATAACCATGTTCTGCCGCTGGTCTGATCATGGGGACATGATTCATGGAGATGGATATAGGGGCTATTCGTGATATGCCTCGGATTGATATTAAACGTTATCTAGACCTGGTTTTGTAAATGTATTCAATGCGCCAATTTGACGACACCCTTTGATCATCTGTCATGACCCTTTGAATTGCTAACGCTATGCTGGCATTGTATTCTGCTTCGCATTCGTGTTCTACGGCGCAAAACCTTTTACTGTCGAAGTTAATGGAACAGATAATGTCTGTGGTCAGATATGTCACCAGGAGAAGATCTGCAATGGAACAGAACCTAGTACTTCTCATTGTAGGTCCCATAGGGGACGGTGTCCGTTACCTGGTGATGAAATCACGGGAGACGATTGGATGTTTCTATTATCCGCGGGAGCCGTAAGCGAGAAGGAATTCATGATGCGGATGTCTCTATCGAATCAGAAGCACTGCGAGTTATGGCTATTGCTGCATAAAGGCTTGACGTCCGTGGTGGAGATGTGTGAATGGAGAAAATGTAACGTAGCATGCCAAGTCAGTCCATCACATTGTGAAAAATAAGCGTATTGTGGATCTTGTCATTAAAACATTTGTCATATGTCAATACCTATCTTAAGTAGATTACCCCCCATAAAGACCTTCGTCTTCTTCAGACTTCCTACGACAGATGCATTAATATAATGACTGCACAGTTTGCCTCTGAGATTATTTCTTGCGATACTCGTAACATTTCTGATTCCTGGTTTCTGTACATCAGGATAAAATTTGGAGATTGGGACATGGTGTCGCAATGTGCTATCAGGGGAATAAAAGACTGACTGTGGCGTGCCTCCATGACAGACAAACGACATGAGAGGAACCGGATATTCCGAACACCCAATGTATTATGCCACAGAACATTCTCGGCGGAATTTGCCACCGACGATAAGTTACCATCATGAACAAGAGCGACGGCCACAGCTCTCTCTACAATTAACGTTAATAAGAATGCTTCTTGTGACAGGCCATGGTGTCGTACCATTAAGGCCCTTTCCTAACTCAGCCACCTAAACCCGGTACCGTCACGAACCATAGCACTTGCCTCCAGGAGTATCTTTATAGTTAAATGAGCCCAACTTCCGAGGAGCATTTTCCGTATTTTCCGGGAGCCTAGAAAGAGAAAGGTTAGCCGAGAGTTCAACATCACTCAACGGAAGACGACTTGGTATGGGTTATCACAAGCAGGTAACGAGGGGTTCGCTTCATCATTTCAAGGGGCCATTCCGCCTAGCCCTGCGAATCTCAGGCATTGCTCATATCTTCTACAGTCGTTGTTGAGTATCTATCATACCGTACGGCGGCGGGTAATTAGTATGTCGCCGGGAAGACAGATAAAATGAGAAAAAGCGGCGTGTGTAATGACGCGGGAGTTACAGGTGATAGTTCAGTAGTTCGACAAGCAGATGTGTCACATAGGGAGGTCAGTCTGAAGTCTCCATACACATTCCTCTCGTACTCCACTGCGGCTTCGATGGACTCATTTTCATCATAATATCTGGACTTAATTGTGAGAATGCTTTCCCAGCCATAAAGTACTTTGATACCTCGATAATATGCTAACGGAGCGACGAGATTCGCCATTGACCGGAGTCGGACGTGCAAATACTTCTTCAGGTGGAGATTGTCAGGCGTGAGAGCATGTCGTCGAGTACGCAGCGATCTGACTCAGTGATAGTGACGGCATAATGACGGCAGAGTCTGCCAGTCTACGCCGCAAGAACACCGGGAGCATTTCTTTCCCGCTGTCCAGGAAGCTGGATTTTCAGAAAAGAACATTTGCATGAGTTTGGGCACTCCAGAAGCATAGGAACGAGTCCTTGTGCCCCAAACACGCCAAACTCTCTGTCATAGTTTCAAGATCATGATAAACCTTGGTCGAGGCCTTCAGGTTGAGGGAAAGATCGGCAATCATCGTAAAGTTTCAGGAAACGAAGAAAAAGGAAATCGCGATGGGAAAGTGCGAGATAAAATCCTTTCAGTCACTCAGTATTATTGAGTGGTCCAAGAGAGCTGATTTCGTAGCAATAGAGAGACATTTTACAAGAGAGGACGCGGGTGATGAAAAGAGAAACGTGTTTATTTGGCAAAAGCTTCGTCGTGACCGTGATGCCAACGTGCCGTGATGGCTGACTCCTTCCCAACCTCCATGCGGCGCTGAGCGCTTGCTGGATCTCTTTGCCGAGGACTCTTGTGGGTGTGAAGACCCTTCAGTTTCAAATTCGTCAAAAATTTACCATCATGAGATACGCGAGCGTCTTCTTAGGCCAGGTTCATCTTTTTCCTTGCAACAGGATGACAGTCTGGACTTAGGTTTTACTCCACGACACTTCATTTCTGGAATCCCGAAACATGTCGCATGACAGTTGGCCTAAGAAGTTGATACTTCAGTAGGATCCATACTGCGAGCCCGGTACAGCCTGTTCGCAGCAAACTTCATCGCTTGATCTTGTTTTCTTGCTGATTCACGTCTCCATAATCCGCGTGTCATATTAATGAACCTGATCTTGGACCCTATGAATGCCATAATACGGGCCCCCAAGATTCACGTAAGGTACGTATCTCTTCGCATCGCTCTGAGACGTAAATTGAAGCCGTTCAATTCAGCGTTCAGGTACCCAAAACTCTATTGGGTGTACCCGAGAGAGATCGGAACAGTCTGACTCCGGCAGAGGAAAGGGCATTCATTTTCTAGACATGATAGTACATTTACTTTTGGAGCTCAGAGTCACTGAAGTCGCTCACTTATGCAGAGCTGTCTTCGCGCCTGCTCTGAACAGAGATCCCTGTCAAAATCGGGGAATCTATTCTTAGTCAATGTCCGCCCATTGTCTCGAGGTCAGCCACGAGCCTCGTGCAGATACCTCTTATACTGACTACTCAGTCCTGCTGCTTAGATGCGCTCCTGACATTGTATCTCGCCAATTTCGAAAATAGGCCTGAAATAACACCGCACCATGCTTCTTTTCGATTCTTTCTTTTTCAGGTGCAAACTACCTTTGTTGAAGCATGCTTGAAACCCTGGTTATACTCTAAAGCCGCCACGTATTATTTTCTGAGGGCTTGTTCAGGGTTTGAGTTGTGGAGATTGCGACCCTTTTTAGTCTTGAATCCTATGCGTCAACCTCGGACTAGATCGACCTGCGGTAACCTCGTCGACTTCTGCTCCTGATTATCATTTCCACAGATGTCAAGACCTATGAGAATCGTTCGTGCTCGGAGCTTCTTGTTACTCGAATTGTGCGTTATGGCGAACTTAGCTATTTGGGCTTTCTCCTAACTTCCTGTAGTCCAAAAGCATTAGCTCGGTCTTTATTGTTCTTCGACCCGTATTTATCGCCGCGCTTCGCCCTGGACAGGACCGGGAGGACTTCGGCAGCGCAATATCCGCGCTAGCACGGAAGATCGTTCCGGGGCTGTCTTTGATAATAGGGATTCCAGCAGATGTTCTCACACTATTACGCTTACGCTCAGACCTGCTGGAGAACATCGTCTTTTGAGGTAGCCCCCGCCTCTGCTGCTGGTTTTGATCCATTAACAAAATTCATTTTCAGTATGTGCCCAATCAAAGAATCCTTCCCTTTCACATACACGCTTGTCGCCACGACCCTGGTCTTCACAACTTCACGAAGAAACGCTTTCTGATTCCGAACCGAGTCTTCACTTCTGCCGCGCTCTAGGCTCGAAGAAACTCGCTAGACACGCCGGATGCCATTTCCTGAAATCGATCAATCCACATCGTTTGGAGTGCAGGGCGTACACAGGCGGCAAGGATATGATAGATGGCTGCTGTACATGAGAACTCGGAAAGACTCCCACAGTGTCTACATTGTTCGTCTCCGTATGGGACCGACAACTAAATATCCCCTGCGCGCCTTTCCGTCGTCTCAGGCCCCTCGACTACATGGGTTATGTTGACCGCAGTACCCTCATAGGCAATAACCCAGTCCATCAGTTCCTCGACATAGTCTCCTTTCTTCGCTTCTTCTGGCCAGAACGTCCTCCACGATGTTTTGTCGTGTTTTCTAGATTTCGAGCTGCGAGGAGAGAACTTCGTTTTTGGATTACTCTGATATTATTACATTGGTCCCTCATTTCTGCGACTTCCACGCGCTCCTCAGTATGGACCACCGTGTTGATATGAAATTTAAAAAGCGCTCCTGAAGGAGCATATGGTGATGGGCCGCTCTCCCATCTTAAGTCGTATGCGGGAATCTTGAAGCTGACCCTGACTGACAATGCTCCTCTGCCAGTGGAGGTTGATAAGACGTGACGAGGAAGGTCAAGATATTCTTTGAGTGTTATTCGCTCTCACTAAAAGACCTTAACAGGCATAATCTCCTTCCGTAGGCTGGTGTCTCCAAACGCAGGACCGCTTCAGTATATCTGCGCTGCCCTTGATCAAACCATCATGGTGTTCTATTCCTCAATTGCTTCCTGGTGCTTCCATCAGATGTGATGTGATCCGACTCGACGCTCTCCACGGATGGCACCATCTTTGTGGCCTGCGGAGATGATCCGGAACTATGCGACTTTCATAAATCATTCCCGCTCCACGACAGGGAGGCAGCTCGGTGTGTGTATCGGCACGTTCAAGTCCTGCGGCCGCGATACGGGTGCCCCTCATTGAGAAATTCTCGTATCACCGGTTGAAGAGGTGCAAGGCGGGGAATAGGATGTTTGTTTAGCGTGGGGAGCTTTATACGTTATGGGCAGGAGGTTAGAGTCCAGAAATCGGGGTACATTGACTGAGAGTCATGATTCTCTTAGCGTTCGGAATCAATGGCATCTATTTCTTTCCACATCGTCGTAAAGAGATGCAGACATCCACCAGCATTCAGCTAAACCTTATCTCAGGATCGTATGCTGTAGCGTTGCCTTACCGTTCTATCTTCGTGAAGTCGCTCACCATCTATTCTGGACTCATCGAAAAGGGACTATCTTTCCCAGGGGACAGGGCCGGCCCGTTCTAACCTCACGGTCATTAACCTTGGACGCGATGACAATGATCACGAGGTCGCGATCATTCAACGATCATCATTCACAGTTGTCAAGACTGTAATCTCCAGTTGTCAGCAACACAGATCATTCACCGTCGTCATGATTTCCGCAATTACAGGTTGCTATTTGACGATGGCCTGCCATGCGGTTAATTAACGAGAAGCGTTCTCCATATTCGTTCAGCCGATTTCCTTGACTACTCATTGGGGGTGGGCATATGGCCCTCGAGCATGAGGACGCCGGAAATTGGAGGGGACTATTCATTCTACAGGACGTCGGTAAAGGGAGCACCTTAAAGCCAGCTTTACCCTCCTCCGATGAAATTAATTGTCGCTTAGAACGGCGATCTATCAGACCGGATGTTTTCAATCAAAGTTATGGGATGTTACAGGGATGGACTCATCGCCCACATCCTTGGTAACCTGTGATACCCTTGTACAATGTTCGTAGCACTCGTCGGGGAGTGGAATTGTGGAATTATAACTCGGGGTAAATGGATCCGTCAACATCGCATATTGAATGCCATAGGGACATGATGCTCTTGTAATTTCAAGGTCGCCAAGTTATGGACAGCTTTACCATAATCAAACTGAGGAGCAGAACCGCGAAACCCTTTCTTCTCCATCACATGGTCATTCAGTTTCATGACGGGGGACAAGGGGTGAATAATAATTTTTACGAGCAACCATCAAATAACCATCGGACTTTGGTACCCCCCAAGAATTGCATAGTACAGACTCGATACGAAAATATCCACCAGCGGGTGTGTAACATGTCAAGAGTCGAAGCGCAGTAAAACGGGCCCAGTACCACCTCCTAAGACATACCCGTCGACCCTGAAGGCGGGTGTTTTCAATAAACGTGGTAGGTGGGCGGATCGAAAAACGCGCTCGATCACCTTGAAACACGATCGATCTGGGCCCTTGATAGATCGAGAGGAGGAGTCGGGGAGGACGGCGGATATTTCTTCTCATGGTATGGCTGGTGCATGTCTGATTAGTCCAAGTAAACCTGTCGATGCGAGGGGCGCAGTCAGTGGTTTTGTGCCTCAAACGGCATAGATGAAGATGAACAATCCCGTGACATCTACCCTCACGGCGATGCCGTCAAAGGTACCTCTCGGTCAGAAGACTTTCCATCCAGCACAGACCCGCGCTCAGGCTCTCTTCATTTCGGAGATACCGGAGATGTTGAAAGGTGAATCAGAAGGTTTCGGGGGGGTATGAGCACAAGAGACCTCTCCTCCGTACGTCAACCAAGCGTTAAGTAAGTATGCGTATGCTCCTCGAGCTCGGTTCGGGAGAGGCAAACCCGCCAACAATAGACCGGTGCCTTCATTTCCAACACGGGAAAACAAGAAAAAAAGACACGACCACCCATATTCACCGACAAACGCAAGGAACGAACACGCGTCAAAGGTTTCCTTCCCTTTACCGAAGATGGGGTCCCATCAATAGCCGAGTAGACCCTAGATTGAAATGAACGCTGATAACGCGTCGGTTTCTCCGAGATGAAAACCAGAGCAAGCACTCCCGAATATCTCTGTCTGTGGCTCTGTGGGGCCGGGAATCTAGGCGCGGTACCGTCATTCACACGAGCACTTTTCTTCAGTAGCGCGTATATATCTAAATGAACTGTTCATGATAGATTGAGCGTGGGTGCGTGGGTGCGTGTGAAATCACACTCAACGCCACTGCTGTACAAATCAGAAAAGAGACTTTTCTTTCATTAAGGAACGCAAATAAACCACATACACGCGTCTGCGGCTTTCAGTTTGTCCGATTTTAGAAACATTGCGGTTTTGACCGAAATTCGCGACGTACGAGGACGCATGTAGATTCGACATTAACGACTCCGATCTTCTTTTCCACCTTTAAACATCCACGCGGGATGTTGCCCTGACTTTGAAGCCTCGATGCTTTTAGACCTTGAAGTGCAGGAAGTAATTACCCTAACGAAACGAGGTACGAACAAACATCTTCGGATTGACTGTACCAAGGGCGGGGGGTGCCATTTGTGTAAGAGAATCATGTGCAGGTTGTCCGGGAAGTCAGAACGTGCCCCTCACCATGGGAGAAGACGGAATCTAGACTGAACGAGGAGTAAAATACGTCCCAGTATTTATTCACCCGGACACGAAAGAGATCCGTTGACCAGGTATTGTTCGGGTGTCAATTTTCTTTTAGATCGTGAGCTGGAGGAAGTAAAATAACGGATCACTGCGTAACGAAAACGAGGTACGAACAATTTTACTCACTGTCCAAAGAAACCAAAACAGGTGAAGCTGGCTATATAATCTTATGCACGTTCCAGGCAGCAGCCAGAACGTATCCCTCTTCGCATGGGAAGGGTCAGGGAATCTCGACTGAGTCAGGACCAAGTAAAGAAAAAAAGTCACGGGATCTATATTCACCAGGAAGCAAGTAGTACGTTGAAGCCCGGTACCAATTATACCGACACTGGACCATCAGTACGAAATATTATCCCAGAACTAAACAGAGATATCACGTCTTATGCGAACGAGGAGGAACGGGTTTGGCTGCCGGCAATCATTATAAATTACTCGCGCCGCGGATCATTTTTCTTCCTTCCGCTGACTTCCCCCACCATCCGGCCGTGTTTTATCCCACAGGTTAGTGTATGGATGGCTGGACTCGAGGGGTGGGAGATTGGTTCCAGAGTGTTCGTGGTAACTTTCGATTTGTGGATTGGACGTGCTTGAGAAATCATCGATCACCTCAAGGAACTGCAAGAATTAACTTGAACAACGAAGGGAACCCGCCTGCTGTGGAATCTCTGGCTTCTGGTGAAGACGAATACGGTACTTTTTTTATTCCCCTCCGCTAGGCCAGAAAGGTCCTTTGACTCTGAAGTTGTTGTGAGAAAGGATACCGTTTGTCTTGCTGATGATTTTCCTGGACCAGTGTGTGCATCATTTTCGTGGAGAGGATAGTTTCCATCGTGTTAAAGAACATCTTCGTGTTCCTATTGAGATGGTTGAGCAGTACATCCTTCTCTGCAAAGGAGGTACGACGTAAGCTATCAAATCGTTGTTGCAGTGGTACAAGCGGAGAAAGTGGCGAGAGGATCATCAGTCTCCACGAGGAGCACCGGTTATATTCTGGGACAGGCGAGACGACTCGTAGGCCTCGAAGATTGACGGATTTCGTGACAAGAGAAACCTCGCGATGATATGATTTCGCCCTCGTAATATTTGTCGCTCCTTGATCCCCCGCCCGACTCCGCTCTCCCGATTGTCACAAGTCGGGAAAGGGTTGCCATGGGCGAACCATCCATTCCAGATACGCTGACGCCTGATACTGAGGGGTATACATGCATTAATGGGGTGGGGGGACCCTGTGGCAGAGACGCGGGTGAAAAGCGGGCGGGAGGTCTGCGACGACAGAGAAGCACTCGGACTGACGTGGATGGGGCGACATAATATAGTGGGGCCATGGGACTACAAGATGATGGATCAATAAGGCAGTATGTAGTCCGAATACGACATAAATTACTGTTTGATAGTAAGTGAAGGGGTATTATAATGATATTGATATTATCTGCAAATGAGTGAATAATGTGGTTACAGCAAGCAAGGAAAAGAAAAAAAAAGGGAATGATAATAGTAGCAGTAGTTAGTGGGTCGAGGATAGCAAAGACGTTTTAGCGAGGACGTGACGATAGTTCGTGAAAAAAGCGAAACACAAAAAAGTGGGGGCCCCGCGGGGAAGGAGGGGGGTATTCATTTTCGATTCATGACCGGTCTTGCTCTTCTGGAGGAGGCGGAGTTGGCTCGGAGGGGATGATGGTACCACGGACGGGATCGTATCGTCCCGAGCGCCTTGGAGTGGGAGCGGGAGCAGGAGGGGGTGTAGGAAGGGCGGGGGGCTCATCTAAGGAATAGGAATACCGCCTCGCGTGGACAGGCGATAACACCGTGCCGCTCCCTGAGCTTGGTCGTGCCCATGTCCCTCCGAACGCAGGTGGTGGTGGCGGGCCCTCACCCGGTCCCCACTGGATTGGAAGAGGGAGGATACGTTCGGGGGAGGGGGAGCGGTGATACGAGCGCGTTGGGAGTGGCGCCGGACTACCACCACGAAACTGCCCCGGGCTAGCACCACGAAACTGTGCGGGGCTGGCACCACGGAAGAGACGGAAGGGGGCGGATGACGGGCGGGGGCTGCTGCTGCTGCTGCCAGCGCCTGGGAACGATAAGGGTGGGAGAGTCCGTGAGTAGTCTAATCGGCGCGAGAGGGACGGAGGAGGCGGAGAGGGCGGTGGAGGAGCATAGGGCTCTTGCAGGCGGGAGTACCGGAATGGGCTCTGCTGTTGGGGAGGCGGGAACGACCTGCCTGGCATACCCGGACCGAGGAGCGACGACGACGAGGGCTCAAAGTACGGCGGGGGCGGGGGCGGGGCGGGGCCTGGAGGATAACCGTAGTGGGGTGGGAACGACGGTGGGAGCGGGTGAGACGTGCTCGGGAACGGGCCGTACTGTGGTGGACGCGTCAGGGGAATATCGCTTTGGCTCCGTGGGCGCCGTGCTTTTTGACGTTGATTCTGTGGGAGTTTCGGTTAGATGCGGGGTATATGGAGAAGAGCGCTGGTGCGTGCGTACTTGAAACCATATCTGAGAATAACGAGTGAGTTTTTTGGTTGGAAATGAAAGGGTGTTGTCACTCACTTGAACCTTTCTCGCGCTCAGACCAATAGACCTTCCTACTTCTTCCCTCATCGCTGTAGTAGGGAATCGTGACTGGAAACGTAGTCAGTACTAGCTCTAACCTACCCACCAGGACTCACTTGAGCCAAGAGAGCATGCAGAACCGCCGACTGGTGAGGGGTCGTAAGCGTGCGTGTGCGTTTCTTCTTCTGCGTTGGTGGTGGCGTCGGGTTTTTCTCCGTGTCGCCCTCTGAGGAACTCCCCACCGAGCGGCGGCGGACCCGTTTCGACATCGGTTCTTCCTCTGCCTGGGGTTGTGGTCCTGGTTCTGATTCGCGACGGCGTCTGCGCGTGATACCGGTGCTGGTGCTCGCTTCAGGCTGAGGTGAAGGCGCGCGTCTGTGTGAAGAAGAAGCAGCGGGGTCGTGTGTTCGTGACGAAGTTGTTGTAGCAGTGGTAGCAGTAGCAGTGTCTGTCGGCGGAGGCGATCTCTCCTCCCTCGACATCAAAAAGGGGAGGGGGAATAAAAAACTATGTGACCAAGAAAGAGAAAAGAGAAAACCGCCGACGAATTAAAAAAAAAGAAAAAAGAGTAAAGGATTTGTATACCCTCCTCAACACATCCTAGTACGTCGGTCGGGGAGAATGAAAAAAAAGAAAAAGAGAGAAAGAGAGGGAGAGAGCCAGGGTAAGCGTTCAGATCAACGACGAAATTACATTAATGGTAACAGCACCCGCAGGACCTAGAGCCGAATTTTATCGCCACCCTGTCCCTTGGTGCCCTTCACGTCATAACCCAATCTCGGATTGAGTTGCGATCGGTAACATTTATTGTTGTGCCTCGATGTGGGAAGTATACGCTTTGTTGGCGAGTATGGTCCCGTAAGGTTAAATTTATGAAGGGGGGGAAAGAACTTGGGGGGGGGTTGGAGGGGGTTCCCCGAGTGTTCCGACGGTTGCGCGCAGTTCTCCTAGCAACCAGAAGAAAGATGGGGCCGGCAAAAAAGAACACACGTCACGGCATTGACGTTGATGTATGACATATATCCTGCAAGACGAAGTTTAAGGGCAGCCAGCCCCCCCACCCCACCCCTTACCTTCCTGAATTGGATTCCTGCCCACGACGGCAGGAAAAATGGAAGAACTCACGAGGTAATGTACGACTCGCACGATAAATTCTGTGTGTGTGTGTGTGTGTGCTATATCTGTTGTTTGCATTCCGTCATCCGGCATTTGCGTTATACCCTGGGCTGGACGCCACCGATGATTGCATGACGACGATGCTCGGACGGGGTTTGTTTAATAACGGGTGTCAATTGAAGCGACTATTAAATGCATAATGGAGAGACGCACTCCCTCCCCCGCCTTCGAACGGTGCGAGATGTCCTCCGTACGGTCGTCATGGGAAGAACCTAGGCCCCCGCCACACCTCTACTGACAATGACATTGCAAATCTCCCTCGCAACGTTGACGTCTCCCCCCGCTCTAGGCCCCCATCCCCCCACCCAACCCGGCCAATATGTTTTCGATCATCTCGGAGGAGGACGCTCTTGGATTGAGCGGAGAGAGAGAGAATTAATGTTAAATGTTTTAATAGGGGGGGGTGGATGGGCGTTTAATTATGGAGGCCGAGGGGGGAGGGGGAGCATAGAGCGATCATCACCTCTCCGTATGTGCGATTGAAACGAGACAGTAAAGTTGATGTTGATCGTAAAACGCGTGGACGATTTTCATTAGAACAAAGGGTTAATCATAATGAAAAGGAGAAAAAAAGCTTACTTTTTTAAAACGATAAAAAAGACATCGCGCGAGGACAAAAAGGATGCGATGCCGTAATGAAGATGGGAGGCTGCGTAGATTCACAGCTTGATGATCGAAAACGTGAACGGAGCGAGCGGGTGGAAGAGCCAACGACCGGGACGAAACTAACCCGATGGAACGGTGCTACGATCGTAAACATGTTTCGTAACACCGGTGCCAGTGGGGAGCGGGTCTGTGCATTTTCATTAATATGCAGTCTCGTTCAAGATCGCGATCCAAAGCATATGTACGTGGAGAGAGAGAGATGGTATGAATTTGACGAGTGCGACAAAACTTGGGATTACTCGCCGCGGGTTAGGAGAGCCAGAGACTCGTCTTGAGGAAAATATGAGATGAATTGTTCCACAGAGAAAACGATTTGCTAATTTGTGATAGCACCCAAACAGAAGACGCGCATCGGACTCGATGACGCTGAAAGCAAAAGGAGAAAAGGACCGGGTAACTCCGAATCTCAGACGAAGCACCTTGCCAAATAAGACCAACGTTCCATTCGTACTCTTTTGCCCTTGTGAACTCTAAATCTAAATCTAAATCTGCCTGCTGGACACCGAGTTTGTACCGGTGAAACGCACACGAGGAGGGGAGAATTGCAAGCGTCGTGGATACCGTTACCAAAATGAAGGTAATTATGGGTTCGTTCATTATGAATATGACCGCTCACCAGCTTCGATAATTGAATCCTCGACGAGAGGGGACGGGACGATGGTGAGTGCATCTGCAAAGTACCCTCCGAGTGACCGCTAACCAATGGCTAGGTACACACGCCGGGATACGAGTTGAACGCAATCACACATGATTATATACGATCTGCGCCGACTCTACCGCTGTCTTACCCCGCCCTCGCCATAATCCATATAATCCCGCTCACCACATCCCTTCTATCCCCTCCCATCACTCATGAAACTCTACACATCCGGCGTCGCACTCGTCACCGGCGCCGGCCAAGGCATCGGCAAAGCCACCGCACTCTCCTTTGCCGAATCCGGCGTACGCGGCCTCGTCCTCGCAGGGCGCACACCCGCTCCTCTGCACGCCACTGCGCTCGAATGCAAAGCCATAGCCGAGAACACGGATCTCGACATCCTCGTCGTCCTTACCGATATAAGCATCGAAGAGTCCGTCAAGAACCTTATGAAGACCGCCGTAGATCATTTTGGACGAGTCGATTATTGTGCGAACGTCGGCGGGGTGGGTTCCCTCCTCTCCTCTCTTATCTAAAAACCCGGGGCCTTGATGTTTTTGTCCAGATGATGGGAACCAAGGCGAAATTCTCCTCCATATCAACCGAAGACTGGGTCGCCATCCAGCAAACGAACATCAACGGTATCTTCTGGCTCGTGCGGGAGCAAATCAGCGTCATGGAGAAACAAGAACGGCTCGTCACGCCGATCATGTCTCCCAAGCGCCCTGCTGAGCGTGGGAGCATCGTCGTGCTCAGCGCCGCAGCAGCAGTGATCGCCCTACCCGACGGAGGTGCCTACACTCACACCAAATACGCAGCAAATGGGTTGACGAAAGCTGCCGGTACACTCTTCGCCCCTACCGCCCTTCTCTACTAATTAATTCGTTGCAGCCCAAGACCACGCCTCGAACGGCATCCGCATCAACGCCATCCTACCGGGCTACATCTACACCGAGGGCCTCGCTTCGCACCCTGCCGCCACGCCCGAAGCTGCGAAGCGCATCATCGACGGGTGCCCTCTTGGCCGGTTTGGAGAGGCGGGGGAAATTGGCGACCTCATTGTTATGATGAGCTCGCCGAGGAATGGGTTCATGGTTGGGAGCAGCGTTTTGGTCGATGGAGGCCAGACGTTGAGTGGGGAGTAATGCAATTTGATTTCATTCTTTTATCCTGCTTTTCGTTGGTGTGCATTCTCATGAGGCAGACCGTTATCGAGTAGAAACACCGTGACTTTTTTCGGTAAACGTCGAGCAAGGTTCGAGTCAGACACAGACACCTTGCGAATCATTCCCAATGGCTACGTCTTCCCTCTTCCCTTCCCAATGATATATGAACGTGGTTTGCCTCCTTTCCAGAAATCGGAACCTGATGTTAGGGGAGGGTCGACAAGTATCGGATATCCATCTCGTCTATAGCCTCAAAGAAAGTGATCTAAGCATCGGGGATACCTTTTTTTTTTGCCAACATTCCCAATCCTACGATCCTCCATGATGCATCCATGATTCTTCTCATCTTCTCATCGTTTGCACCGCTTCGATTCTAGATACTTCTGAGCACACATCGCGTCTTTGGATCTACAACTGCCGGCTACTCAATAGAGGTTTCCTATTGGGGATGGCCTGCATAGGTCTTCAATAATGGTGCCCGTAAGTCAAGTCGTGTTCAACTCATTCCCCTCATGTTCAGGCGTATCCTAGTAGAAAAGCCCGGTAGAAGCACACAAGGGATGATCGTGGTAGCAATGATAGTTGTGTCTACTCATATACCATTCGCAGATGGCTGTGTTCCTATAGAAGTCAGAGCCGGGACGGGCACGAAGACAAAGGTCTTCTGATCAACGATGAGGCGGTTCCCTTGGCCATTATCGATTATCACTTATCATTTGTATTGAAAAGGACCCCGCTCCGTTCGTTACACTCTCCATCGAGCATAGAAATGTGGGTTCCTTGATAGCAACGAGCCATCACTGTCGCTAGAGATCGTCGCAGCCCCCTCCAAAGATTAATGCTCAGCGCCGACCCTGACTGAGTTGATTGATGACATAGATGTAAAGCTGGAAAGCCGAGAGTGGGTACTATAGTGTGAGCGCCCAGTGGGCGGGCCCCCTCTGGACTATTTCATTTCCTCCAGCAGTGCCCTGAGATTGATTGCAATTGGGGGGTCTGGATCGGCTGCTTTCGCAAAAATGCTTTGGACTTCGCGAGAGAAGAAGGCCGAGGCTAGGATACCAAGATCCCGTGTATGGCTCATTCCCGCTGCGAAATAATAACAATAATAATGGTGAGAGGGAAACGAGTATGCCGGCCTGTTCGTGAGTACCTTGCCCGGTTTTCTCAATACCAAGCTGGTACAATCATATGGGAAGGAGACGAAATCTGGCCGATCGTCTTATTTTAATGGCGGGAATAAATTCGGAGCGCAATGAGAATAGGCGAACAATGAGAAGGTGGATTCAGCGGCTTAGGATACTCCCTTTGCCCATAGGTCTATGGAACTGCTTACCCCAATAAATCAGATCTATGAAACTAACCCCCAATTTCGATCTCACGCCGGTAATTAATCATCTATACTCGGGTACAATAATTGAATCAGCGTGCACGCTAACTTGTTCAGAATTCAGAGCGCTAATCACCGCATGTCTTTTCTGCACCCGATTTCGTTTCAGACATTGTGGCGGAGGTAGACTCTCGCTAGGCTTGGTCGTTTTCTCTATGATTCATACAGTCGCAAGGTTCTCTTGCACAATAATAGAACTTTCTTTAAATAGAATATACGTAGATCTCCTTCTCGGTGTTGATGTGAGCCTACTTTTCGTAGTTCGAAACTATGCTTCATGAACAAGATCCGCCCGCCTATATGGACTGTGGTTTCGGCTCAAGTGGGATTATTCTACTCGTGCTACCTTCTTTTTCAACGAGTGTAGCGAAGGATTCTTCTCTGTCCTGGCACCTGATTTATTCACTAGACCGTGTGTGGAAGACACAACTTCTTTATCACGGACCACCGAGGGAAGCATCCACTTACGGCATGGTTTCCGTGGCTAGCAGTCATATGATAGAAATCAATTGTTACCAGTGTCGAAAGAAATAAGTGTCCCGTCCGATCCCATCGCAATTCACAAGCTTGAAGAAGAATGTCAAAAATTCCCACATACGCCTAATCTTCAGTCCAAGTGGACGCCAGCATCGTTGGTGCGCTACGGTATCCATGGGAGATACGGTATCTTATCTCTGCTTCGAGACAGAGTCTGAAAGTCTGCTATTCTCTTGGGTGTCGTTGTCGGGCTATGACGGGCGACCGACTCGATGTGTCCACGTCCACAACTAGTCGATTCGTACAGCGCCTGGCGTTTATGCTTTATTGGTGGTGGTAAAGAGGGGAGGGGGGGGGGAAGACATGGCTCGAGATGGGCTGATAGAGCGAGAGTTTATGGGATGCAAAGGTGAGGGCATCTTTAAAAACGGATTAGAAGCTCATGCATGGATGAGCGGAATGACATTTCGTGGGGTCGTAAGTCAAATGTCGCGGCGGCTTTACAGAACACTGTTGTTCTTGGTATCACGATGTATTCATTACGTCTATCATTTGAAGAGTCAGATGCTACATCCACATGCCTTGAGTGAACATGCGACTCACCACAAAACAGATCCAAGTGTAATTGCCACTATAACGACGGCGATAACAGCTGCGACGGGATAACGAACGCTGTTCGACCCACATTGTCCAGTGGGTGCATGAGTAATATTTGCCCAAGTGACAGGGAGGACAATGCCAAAACGGGATGTTTGGCAAATTCTTGTGTGTTTTCGCAAGATCGTTCTTGTCTCTTGATTATCGGCCCGCACGTTCTCTTTCTTCCTCTTTGTTACATGTGATAGCCCTGCTTTCTAATTGCATTTGATGATGTTTCTGCGTGATGTGTCAATACGTGCTGTAGATGGAGTGGGTCCTCTGCAGTCTCTTATTACTTTGATTCTGGCTGATGTGCTCTTTTATAGATTCGCTCGTCTTCTTGTTACAAGAGACCTCAGATATGCCACTTTAGCGGCAAGGCTTTCGGTGAGGGAGATGGATAGGATCATAACCACGGCCTCATCCCTCTGTACTCACCCGAGTCACCCCAACGCTACTAGGACGACGTTTACGTGAACGCAGCTTTACTGTTCTCGTGGAAGCTCTACGGAGCTCATACCAACTGAACTTGAGCGATCACGGGCTTGAAAATTGTGGAGATGCATGGTTGGTCGGGATGGAGATTACCTGGGCTTTCGTAGGAGTATCCTTAGAGAGTCTTCGCATTCTGACGATCGCCTGTCGAGAATTCACATCATTTGTACGGCATGTCACGCCGTCTCCCTAACTGGTAGACGCACACCATTGCGATTCCAAGCATATCGTCGGGGAGCCAGGCTATATTGTGCATCTCGTCGTTATGATGACCTCCCGGAGGAATGAGATCGCTGTTGGGAAAGGGGCGTCTTGGTCGATGGTGAGCAGGTCTCTGGGACACGAATGTTTTCCACTTTTCGTCAGTGTGAAACTCTGAAGGTTTCTCACTCAGGCGGCCCAAGAAAGGGCTAGACCGTACGTTCTTGAGCCGTTCTGGATTTATCAGTGAGCGAGCGTCGAGCCCAAGCCATGATTCATGTGGCGATATCCGTCATTTCCTGAAAATTCTCGTCCTTTTATTGCAGCGTCTCCGAATAACCCGTTGTGGCATTTATACCAGGTTATCTGGCAGTCCAAAGAGGGTCAACGTCTTGGATATCCATCTCAGTGTCTGGAAGAGAAACGATACTCTCAGCAGCTTAACGGAATATGGATCTTTGGCCTGAGACATTTACCCCGGTCTATCTAGACAATTTATTTTCGTGAAAGTTCTATGGCAACCTGATGGCTATTCGTCACGGTCCCAAGTTTAATTACCCCGAACTGACCGTTGTCAGTGGCTGCAACATCGATCTTTCCCCTCAGACGCATAGAGAAAACCGGTAAGACCACCTATACTTCAAATCCCTCCCGGTATATACGCGCTTCGGTTGGAACTCGAATCGATCCTGAGATGACGCCTTCATTGCTCATCTAATCCGGGCGTAGAAACCACTCTCTAGCTCCCATCATCGAAGACGAGGCACAAGGTGGAGGGTGGTGACCGCGCTCTGGGAGGTGAATGTACAAGCCGGAGGAGAGAAAGATGGTCTTCTCCTGAAAAATATACCGAAACCGGTCACACCATACCTCCCTCGTGAAGGGTCTCGTTAGAACATATTCGAGAGTCCAGTCTCTGTAGCAGAAGATTGACTGCTATCTCAGAATGTAGAAAATACAGCGATTAGAACCAGAGGACTTTGTTGCAGGTCGAACAAGGCTAGTTCGGGCCGGCGCTCTTTGTTTGTTGGTTCCACGTGGATATCTAAGTAACTGCCCCTATTACGATTTCAGGCTCTTACACCATAGGACAATGAAGACTGCCACTTTCGAACCCAAAATGGACCCTGACCTCGGCAAGCTATGTCGGCCCTCTTATCGATCGCTTCCTCTCCAATCATTGGGTTATTCAATCGCACTGGTAAGGTTTTCTCGCATATCGTTGTGGCCGCAACGCTTGAATATGTACGTTAATCCCTTGATGACGACACGCCATTTCGATCATGTGCATTTGCTCGAGAAATATCAATTGGGCTGCGTGACTCTCAGGCACCTTTGCCCGTGAAGGAATGAGTCATGTCGATGAAGAGTGATATTTGTGATCGCCAAACGAACGGATCTTTGCTTCAAGCTCGGGAAAGTTCTGCCGTCCGTTCAGTTCATCAATCCATCTACTTAACTGGAATCGTCTTGATGGCAACCTACGAAGACTGATCTCTATCACCGTTGCTGGAGCCCGAAGCTCTAAGTTTAATGACCTTGACCAGCCCTGAGCCGATTGATGGGAACTCTGTTGTTGATCTCACTGGGGAGTAGATATAGAAAATAAGTACAAGTACATTGTGGTTTTAGTTTCTTCGTTTGTATTTGAAGGACTTAACTCGATCCGCCGTGACTGTTAGTCTAACCCAAGTGTAGAGACTGCTTTCTATCCAGAAAGAGGGAGACAAAGTGCTGGGCGGGTGAATGGTGGCTCATGCTGGAGTCTGGTCGAGATTCAAGGTGAATCTACTTGTACTCTGGCGGTAGGAGACCCGGAAGAAGATGGAGATATCATCCGCTACTCTGAGTTGATACTAATGCCAATCTAAGTCTAAACGGATGAAAATCGTACGAACAGACTCACTAAAGGAGAATATGGTCGTCACGAGTGGTCCCAGGGAACGTCGTTTTCGAACACATTTGAGAGTCCAGTCCTTGCGCAGCAATACAAAAAAGCAGAAGGTCGGCTATGATCTCAGCAAAGATACGTCCCAGAAATCCGTACATGGACCTTTTGTGAAGAAGAAAAGATCTGGGATCGAAATAAATGAAGAGATGGATAGCTTGTGTCTGCAATTAGTAGATCCGCGGTCGAACAAGGATTCGGATCGGGCCGGGGCTCGTCCTCCTTTTTTTCTGTATCAAAGACTTCAGGAGCCATATAATCACTGTCTCTTGATGTGTATTTGATGTATTTGTCCATTGTAGAAATTTTATTCTTCATATTAGTCCTTTGCAAGTAATGCTCTGTCATATTAATATAATCTCTTTTCGCATCAAGTTAATAGTTTCTTCGATAGACGTTAGCCCCATCTATTCTTGTTGCAAGAAATGGTGAGTCTTGCGGATTGGGTTTCTATGATTTAAACTTATCAGGTGCAACATGAATGCCAAAAGGTGTTTCAGGTATAACTCATCGTGGTCGGATTCATTATGTTCAAAGACGGCTAGTAATATCCGTTTCCAACGTCCGGTTAGTCATGGTCCATCCTCTTATTGATCTCTTTCTCTGGTTATTCAATTACAAGGTTCTCTCTGAGTTGTTCACATAGCCCTGTGGCCACCATTATTGTATTAGTGTTTCATTTTTTAAATAGACGTACGTTAATCCCTTATTGATGGAGCCGCATTTCGATCATGTGTTTTCTTCCTTCCATACTGTGATCGTGTCGTGGTTCGAAAACAAAAAAAGGTGGAATACACCGACATACTTTTGGTTCCTGTCTTGTACACTGTAACCGACCTGGCCATATTCATTCATTCTATGCATAGGCCGTTTCCATGACAGGCATAGCTTCCTTATCATGGACCACGACCACCGAGTCTGTTTTAACTGCCTAACCAAACCAGTATCTACTTTCAATTACGGAATAGTTTTCACATTGAATCTCCCGCGAGGTTAGTCTTCTCGAAACGGATCTGGGCATTGCAGTCATATATCCAGGGAACCATTCAATTCCAACACTACCGCGAAGGCCGATTGTCATTCCTCAATCTGATCTCGTCGTTATCTATAGGAGCCACTAACGTGATAACACAGGCTGTTATCGATGGATATTCCCACATACTCCCAATCCTCCGGCTATCCATGAAGAGGTGGACCCTTTGAAAGTGAATAATAACGTATCCGGGCATCGGTGGTACTTTCATATTTACCGGCAGTTCCGCCTACGTTACCCACCTCTGCTTTCGGACTGCGTTCGTAAGTGTCTCCCCCGAAGCCGCTTTTCTTTCTTGGATTGACATCGTTCTCTTCTAACAAATACCCGACCTCTCTCCATACCTTTATCGTGCTTCGGGGAGATGGATTAGTGCCGTTGGTCTAGAGTTCAAAGTAGAGGTGGAGAATTGTCGCAGATAAGTCTGGTCATCCAAAATGATACAACTGGCACCATTTTAGACCAATAGCGTCACAGGTATATTCTTTGTTGGGGATGTTGTTCTCCAAATATCGCCTGTCTTCTCCTCAGGCTCGTTGTCTACTTTGGTGGACTATAACGGCGACCGGTATCGACGCTCACAACTTACGCTCTTCCATCGACGACTCAAGGCAGCCGCCTTGCCACTGCACAATCTATGACGGTACCATTAAAAACAATAGCATATTAAGCATAATTCACAAACGACGATGAAACCTCCCTATAGTCACTACTGAGGTGCCTCAGTCAAGATAATCTGAGCCCACCACTTCGCCTTCGACGGATCCTCCGTATACAAAGATCCCAATCTCAGATTATTCACATTCATAACGATCGGTGTCATCGTCGCTGTCCGACTAGGCGAGATATTGTCTGCTTCTCTCTGCACCCAATCAGGCGACCAACAGCGAAAAAGAAAGAGGAGGTCCTCACAGCAATTATATCCCGATACCCCGCAGAAACGCTATGGGCGATCTCGTAAAAAGTCATCCCGGAATGATGTTTGCAGATCAAGGGGATACGAATGTATTGCGGGAGGTACCCACTAGCCTACCATACGGTGCATCAGCTCTGGCGAGGATCAAGATAAGAAAGAGATGGCACTACATGAAAGACGACATCGATACACTCTACTCCGACCAGTGCAATCGGATACATCTCCGGAGTCCACGACCGGTCGCCCTGCAGGACCTGCAGCATGCTAACCCACCCGAAGTCGATTTTGTACAGTGCCTGGTCGAACATGGGTTTGGGAAAAGTGTACTTTATGCGACCGGAAGCTTTTAGGCTGTGGCAGGAGTTCATTTTCTGGCCGGCAGTGCGTTAAGAATGGATGGAAGAAAAAGAGGAGAAACATACGGGGGGTTGTTCGAGACATACGTAGATGGGCTGGTATAATGTGAATTTCTTGGCTATACAATCTGAAACGCAAGGTTGATCCTGAGTTAAGGGCATGAGCATAGGTCCCTGGAAAACGGATTAGAGGCTTACGCGCGTCCCATGAGTGATGAGCTGAATGATGTTCCGTGGGTCCTAAGTCCAGTCAGTATCAGCGTCGCGGAGGTCTTACAGATCGTTCTTACTGGTTGTTCTGGTCCATAGGTTACCATCTAGAAGATCGTTTCTCAGGGTTTCTATTCATATATATGCCACGCCACTCACGAGTAAATCCGGATTTGCGAGAGATGTCCACTCTACTCCATAATTTGGGAGTGGCGCTTGGACTTGCCAGTCATTCTATTTCACGATGAGGGCGTTCCAATCCCACATATCAATATACACACATACCGAGTGACCCTGATTGTAGATGTATGACATGATAGAAGAAGCGACAGTTGAGATTAAACTGCATTTCACAACGATGTTCTTTATGACAGCGACAGAACAATGGAATGGGGAGTGGCAGGATGGGATGCCTTGGACAATGAACGGAGTGCCTGACAAAGAAAAGAGGCTTGCACTGCCGACAAGACCGATAATATTTGAAAACAATACTGGACACCCAGTGTGACCAGAATGGGATGGTATATGGGCATAGATACTGAGCGTACTTTGTATGCGTCGACCTGGATCTACATCTAATAATACTGGCAGGTTTGCTTGGGTCTAATTGGCTATCAGAGTTCCAAATGTTTCGTACATGGCATCCAGGGAAAAAAAAATTTAGCAGCAGTCCTGAGGCAATGTCAAATGCCCAGATGTTGGTTCCTCGTGTCGGGCTGCAAGACGACCACTATGACGATGGCCAGAACTTCCATTTCTCATGAACCATGTTTCAAAATGAAGGTATATTATGATTATTGAGAATGCTCCCCATTCATTCTTGGTTCGCAGTCACCTCTAACTTATACTGTTAAATTGTCCTAATGAAACAGACCGATGATGATGCTCTGTTTCCCCAGAACCAGTGTGGCAATGGGAGAATTTTGATCTCTCTAGTTTGCTTTCTACGAGAATAGGTACAATGGATCAGGATATCCTAGTCCCTTCATTTGATGGCGTGGTCTGGATGTGTTTGGAATGCAAGCTCGCTGTCCTTGTCAGAACAGTTACAGAATCACTAACTACGCTATAATGCTCTGCAAATATTTCTTCCATCACCATCACGTCAAATGGCTTGTTCCGGAGTCTCGATGTCAAACTTCAATATTGTCGCGGATCTCTGGCCGTCCTTTCTACATCCTTCTCTGATATGGACACTTACTTTTTCATACATTCTTCGACTCCTTCAAAGGACATTCGATGGTTTTCTCCCTAATCTAAGTCATGGGTGGCATCTGTGATCGTGGTACATTTGTGGCAGTGACAAGTCTTCTCCTTTTGATGCATTTTAATTTGCTGCTATAGATACAGACACTTGAATGGAACGAAATTCACTCCGATCTATTGCGCTAGATGAGAGATGGATTGGCCATTGGTTAGGACGGTGCACCCCCTTCGGCGGAGCCGTTGGGGGTGCACAGTATGAGTAAAACAAAACTCACCTCAAAAGTGTTGAGGTTTGTATGAATGCTTGGTAAAGCGAATCAAGGTCCAACAGAGGGATGGGGTCACCATCTCTCACCCTGTTTCGCTTTTATAGCTCTTCAGGGACCTGATTCATAAGCAGATGATGCAAACGAGAGGTTTTGGCAGACCAATCATTTTCGCTTTATCAGCAATCACGCAATCCGCAGCACAAGGAGGTGATATGGTTATTAAGAAAGGTACGAAATCGTACCATTTATTATTCATACTTATAGGTAGGCGGTACATGAATTGCTCAGAAGAACCTCAGAAGCAACCCAAAGTTAGGGTTTAAAGCAACAGCGGTACACAGAACAGCAGTGGTGGGACTGCGAAATGCGATGGACGCCTCGCTCTGTGGATGGACCATGCACAGGCCGGTACTGCGAACTCACAGCGGTCCCTCTTGTGCATGGTCCATGTGCTTTGGTAGGGGGCATGTCTGTTTCGTGGTACATGAAGTCTATGCCCATTTGCACATGACATGGGCATAGGGAGCACATTTGTTTCGCGGTACATGACCGATTCTCGAAATATGACCATTCTTGTGTTTTAGAATTTGCGTAGGTAGCGTGTACAGTCCGCGGTACATTACCAGTTCTCGAAATATGTCCATTCTTGTGTTTTAGAAACTGCATAGGTAGCACGTACAGTCTGCAGTACATTACCGATTCTCGAAATATGGCCATTCTTGTATTTTAGAAACTGCGTAGGTAGCACGTACAGTCCACAGTACATTACAAATTCTTGAAATATGTCCATTCTGCTGTTTTAGAATCTGCGTACAGAGTGTGTGCAGTCCTTGGTACATGACCGATTTTCTTTGCAGGCTGCTTTTCATCTGTCGGAGTGAGAATAGCACTGTAACAATTTGTTCAATTTGCTATCACATCTTTTGTCAATATACTTTGAAATGGTCAGAATATGTGTTTCATTGACATTGTATTCCAACATCTTTTTTTGCTCCCCTTCTCCCTTTGTCAATTTCGACACCGACTGGGCGACACAATGGGCTCTCCCAGCAGCATCCCTCGGTTCCCTTCCATAGTGATTGGTTCCCTCTCATCCATTATTTGCCTCCTGATGTCTGGCTCTGCTTCATCCTCCAAGGAGTCCTCTTCTTCTCTGCACTCTCGGAGAATGCGATCTTCTCTTTCCTGCATGTCCATCTCCTTTTGCTTCTCTCTTTCTTCCCTCTCAATTATCGCCATGATTTCCTCTTCATCCTCCCTATCCCCCCATTCCTCAACATTCTGCAATGCTGGCATGTGGCCACTCATAATATCAAATCTCCAGTTCTCTATCCATGGATTCCGGATGAGGTGGACTGCTGAACATGGTAGAGCCTCTTTTCGAACTCGTTCCAGTTTAATCAGTTCCCCTCCCGACTTCTCATAAACACACACCCATGTGCTATCAGACCAAACACACTACAGGAATTCATCAAATGCCCTTTTCAGTGCTCTTCGCATGTCTTCCACTTGTCTTGAAGAAGACATATCATGCACAAATCCTTCCCACATCTTTATTGATTTCATCTTTCCCCAGTTACTCCATGCAGACCATCATTTCCTCGCATTCAGTTCATTCGGAGTCCAGAAGATGTTGTCAAACAGTGAATCCCACTGGCTCTCTGTTCCTTCATGCATTCGTGCATGTGTCAACACTCCTCCAAGATCATTTTCTTTCATGATACGGATGTCGACCATCTGCCGTTCATTCTGTGTCAGAGGAGAATGCTCCCATCCACATTTCGCCTGTCCAACCTTCTGCAGCATGTCAGACACATATTGCTGTAGTACTTGATTCAGAAATGTCCCAGCATGCCCCGGATATTGTTTGTCATATATCTGGTCCTCTGGTGGCAGATCGGGCCCATAGTCATATGATTTTTCTGGCATTTCTATCTGTCGAGCTAGCCTTTCTGTCTTCAGCATTGGCTCCTCAGGTTGACTCTTGGCTTTCCTCGTGCACCCTATGACCTGGCCCATTGGCTTCTGTTCCACCAATTGTCGCTGCTTCATGCGACTATCTTCAGAACAGAACTCATTCAGCGTCTTTCTAATGCCCAACAAATTCCAACCTGCCTCACTGGGCACTTGGATGACACTCTCGCATCGTGGTATTCTTGTACCACCTCCATTCCATGTTGGCCATGCAATCATGCTGCTTGGAATCCACCAGAGTCCTCCCTCTGCATATGGTCCTGGCTCATCCATCCTGTCTCTCTTTCGCGTGCATGGAAGGATCATGTGATGATCTTCCTGCCAGTACGTTCGCGGCCAGATGGCATGCATCAACATCTTGTGTCCTGATCGCTCTTCTGGCCGTGCATGAAGCGAATTCACCATAAATGCAACAAGACATGTCAGGATGACTGGATAGTAACGGTGTTGCATGTCCATGTTGTGCTCTTCATTCTGCCACTGGATCAATGTCACAAATCCGAGAGCTCTGGCAGATTTAAATTGCCTGTGGATACTATTAGCCCTGATCCTCATTACTACATAGCTTCTAGAAATGGGCTCACCACCAGTCTTGCCGTGGAACACAATACACCAGATCTGAGAAACTCACAACTGGCACATCTGCGAACACATCTTCTGCATTAGCCAGCAGAACTCGTGCCTCAATCTGCGCATGTACATCATTATGCCATGCTGCATCTGCAAAGACACCATAGAGTTTCCCAAGAAACTCATTGTATGTGTACTTCGACTTCTTCATCAGATTGACTGCTGTAACAAACTTGGCATTGTTGCTTGCCCGCATGTCATAGGTGAGGCATTTATCGGTTGTGTACATCTGGACAAAGGTTGCATTGAATTGTCCAAGCGGTGTGGTATGTGTTGTGATGTGACATCCTGCGACGGAGGTGAGGTGTGCACATGTATCCCTTTTGTAATTGTAGTAACCAAAACGCGTCCACTTGTCAGCTTCGGTCCGATGCATTTGCAGTAGTCTCTGTAGCGCAACTGCATGGCCATCAGAGCGCCACATAACTGCTCCCTCCTTCACAGACAGCTCAAGTGCAACATCAACAAAGACATCATCACCAGGAGTACTGAACATGTCAGCATTGAATACATGGTCCTGGCACAGAAAGTATTCTCGCTCGGTTGCATTGCTTGGGTCATGCACTGTCAATGCCTTAATCCCTTGCCACTGAAGCAGAAAACGGAGCCCGATCCCCCATCCATCTGAATGGCGCTCCAGTTGTTCACTGAAATCTCCTAGCAATCGTTCCACATATTCACTAGGGATCAACTCCGTTAGCTTTCTTGTCTGATGACTCTGACCACTTCCTGCCTGAAACAATTTTGAACTGTAGGTAGCAGGAAGACGAGCTGCTGTCATATCCTGATAACATAAAGCTGATTGGATGAATATTTCATAGAGCACAGCATACTCCTGGATGGAAACTGAAGGGGTTCCCTCATGCTGTTTGAGATTTCGAAC